CATACAAATGTGAAGAATGTGCCAAAGCTTTTTATCAAAGATCACACCTTGTTAACCACCAGAGAATTCACACTGGAGAGAAGCCCTACAAATGTGAAGAATGTGGCAAAGCTTTTACTCAAAAATCACACTTTAGATGCCATCATAGAATTCATAGTGGAGAGAATCCCTACAAATGTGAAAAGTGTGATGAAGCTTTTATTGAAACAAAATCACTTACTCAACATCAGAGTATTCATAGAGGAGAGAAGTCCTACAAATGTGAAGAATGTGGCAAAGCTTTTTATCGACAATCACACCTTATTTGCCACCAGAGAATCCATACTGGAGAGAAGCCCTACAAATGTGAAGAATGTGGAAAAGCTTTTTATCGAAGATCACACCTTGTTTATCACCAGAGAACTCATACTGGAAATAAGCCCTACAAATGTGAACAATGTGACAAAGCTTTTTATCAAAGATCACACCTTGTTGGTCACCAGGTAATTCATACTGGAGAGAAGCCCTACAAATGTGAACAATGTGGCAAAGCTTTTTATCGAAGATCACACCTTATTAGCCACCAGAGAATTCATACTGGAAAGAAGCCCTACAAATGTGAAGAAGGGTGCAGAACTTTTAATGAGAGAACATCACTCACTCAACACCAGACTATGCATCCTGGAGAGAAGCCCTACAAATGCAAAGAATGTGACAAAGCTTTCTTTCAAAGATCACACCTTGTTAGCCACCAGAGGATTCATACTGGAGAGAAGCCCTACAAATGTGAACAATGTGGCAAAGCTTTTTATCGACGATCACACCTTATTAGCCACCAAATAATTCATACAGGAGAAAAGCCCTACAAATGTGAACAATGTTGCAAAGCTTTTTATCGAAAATCATACCTTATTTGCCACCAGAGAATTCATACTGGAGAGAAGCCTTACAAGTGTGGAGAATGTGACAAAGCTTTTATTGAAAGAAAATCACTTACTCAACATCAGAGTATTCATACTGGAAATAAACCATACAAATGTGAAGAATGTGACAAAGCTTTCATTCAAAGAGCTCACCTTGTTAGCCACCAGAAAATTCATACTGGAGAGAAGCCTTATAAATGTGAAGAATGTGGCAAAGCTTTTTATCAAAAATCAAACCTTTGTAGTCACCAGAGAATTCATACTGGAAAGAAACCCTACAAATGTGAGGAATGTGGCAAAGCTTTTTATCAAAGATCACACCTTGTTTACCACCAGAGAATTCATACTGGAGTGAAGCCATACAAATGTGAGGAATGTGGCAAAGCTTTTCATCGAAGATCACATGTTACTAGCCACCAAAGAGTACATAAAGGAGGAAAGTCCTGCAAATTGAAGAATGTTGAAAAGCTTTAAATGAAAGAGTATCACATACTCTACACCAGAGTATCCATACTAAGCAGGAGCCCTACAAATGTGAAAATGTAAGAAACAGTTTTATCACAGATCACACCTTTTTAATCACCAGAGAATCTTGCTGGAGAAAAGGCCTAGACGTGGAGAATGTGGAAAAGCCTTTTATTGAAGATCACACCTTATTTGCCATCAGATAATTCATGCTATAGACAAGCCATAAAAATATAAAGAATATGGCAAAGCTTTTTGATGAAGATCACACCTTATTTGCTACCAGAATTCATATTGGAGAAAAGCTCTACAATGTGAAGACTATGGCAGAGCCTTTTTATCAAAGATCACACATTATTTCCACCAGAGTATCATAATGGAGAGAAACCCTGCAAATGTAAGGAATGCAACAAAGCTTTTATTTGATCACCACAGTATTTGTGCTGGAGGGAAGCCCTACATATGAGAACAACATGGCACAGCTTTTAATCAAATATTAGAGGTTCTTGATATGAAGAGAAACTCTACTAATTAGTGTATTGTACCAATTATTTTAGGAATGGTTCAACCCGTATTCCACACCATAAGAATCATAGCAGAGAGAAATTATTCAAATGTAAAAAAAATGTGACCATCTCCCAACAATCACAATTTACTAAGCAACTGAGAATACATACTTGTGAAAAAAAGTATAAGTGAAAAATGATTGCAAATCTCATAGCTAATCTCAAACATTACTAAAGACTGGAAATTCATATTTTGTAAATTAAAATACTGTTTCCAAGCCTTTATTCAAATCTTCAATTTTCTTAAGCATCTAAAACCTAATACCTGTAGTGAAGGTGGCACAGCATTTTTCTAAAATATATTCCTTAGATAGCATCAAAGTATTTACAAATAATTAACAAGAAGTATTTTTTTAAAGCATAATAAATTTTTCATCTTTACCTTGTATCTTGATGCATATGAGGATTGAAAACAAAGAAGTTATTTTAATAATCAAAATGGGCAATTGGCTTTAAGTTTGCTAAAAATTTATTAAACATCATTAGCTGAAGTGATAGAAATAATGAAATTCTCAAAAATACAGCATAGTGCATATACGTCATCTATAAGGATATAAAATTTTTATAAATGAAATATTACTTAGTGTTCCCACTTTGAAAACCAGGAAAAAAAACCCCCACAATTCTCACATAGTTGATTATATAATAATTCTGGGGGGTATTCTGTTTGTTTGTTTGAGATTTGAGCCTAAATTTTAATTCTTTAATTTTTGTTTTTTGTACTATAAATTGAACTCAAGGGAACTTAAGTACTGAACCACATACCCAGGCATTTTATTTTATTTTATTTTATTTATTATCTCCATAAGTTGCTTAGGAGCTTGCTAAGTTACTGAGGCTGACTTTGAACTTAGAATTCCTTCCTTCAGAATCACTGGGATTATATGCATGGGCCACCACATCCAGCTTACAGTGCATTTTTACAATTATTCACATTTTGTATGCAGTTTGTGAATAAATATAGTCAATGGTTGTTAATAGGTTAACACTGTCATGTATTTAATCATGTCATTATATCACAGATATTACACTATTCCACGTTATTAAAAATTCTCTATAACAGTAATACTGTTGCTTGATTCATGCTGTAACATCTCCATTAATTATTTTAAATATTTTAATCAAAGTTTAGTCTTTGAGTGACATTTTTTGCATTAGTTAGATCTTTATACATTTTAATTGCTTATATGCAACCAAAGCAATCTGGTAATTTTGAGACTTACTAGAGTGAACCTTATTAGTCAAGGTAACCACCTCCCCTAAAGACCACCTTGATCTGAGGGGACAGGTTTCCATGACTGAGGACAAAGAGGAACAACTGGAGTCACCATTCTTTTAACAAGGGCAATGCTGTTATCTTCACCCATGGAGAAAATTAATCCATATTTTCATATAATTTAATGTATGATAAAACACTTTTTTAAACTGATGCTTAACTAATGTGTTCTACTGTCTAAGTGTAATGACATCTCCTTCCTGAAAATTCACATGACACCATAATAAATTTTACATGCTGGCCCCAAATTATCGACTCATTTTTTTGAAAGAGATTTTCAATTGTGACCTTATTTTAGTGCAGATAAACTTTATGCGCAAACTACTTTTCTGGTTTTTTGTCTGTGTTTGGGGATTTGGGGGTTTATATTATTTTAGTTTTGTTAGATGATTGATATTCAGGATATCCACATGCTAGGCCAGTTAACCATTACTGAGCTATACCCTTAGCCTAGTGGCAACTACTCCAATTTAATTCACAGCAAGAAGTAGACCTGCTGAGTTTGGTAACCAGAACAGTCAGGTAAGCTCATGACTGCCAGGATAGAATCTGGGTTCTCTGACAATACAATGAGATCCCCAAGACTAGCATGACATGAGTGGTAGGTCTCATTCACTAGGGATAATATGGAATCACTGGAAGTACTCATTCTTCCTACAAGGCAAGAATATTTTCCTCTTCACCTAACAATAAGGAGGCAACAAGGCATCACTTACGTTTGGGAACCTGGAATAATCAGAGCCCACTCCATAATGAAATAAATGGACAGATATGTCAGAATTACTTTTTGCTTTGTGCACTTTAGGAGGAGAGTATCAGGACCTACTGTCATAAAGTCTTTCTGATACACTCCAACTATATTGAGAAATGATGAGGTAAAGGTAGACCTGCTTCGGCACCTTTAGCACATAAGCAAAGCAGCACTTTCAGCTGTTGTCACTGTTTTTTGCCTCCTTATACTGGGATTTGAGGCTAACATTCTGGCTAACGTGGTTGATTCCTGAGTACATTTTTCTAAACAATAGAAGACAGGCAAAAGCCAAAAGTTATCCTTTTAAATTAAATGAGGTATATGGAATAGGCAATTTTATGCATAGAAAAAAATAGAATGGTGGTTATAAAAAACTGGGGGAAGAGAGAGATTAGGAGTTAGTGTTTATATCTTGCTAGGTTTCCATTTGGGGTGATTAAAAACTTCTGGATGGTGGTTATGCAATGACGTAAATGTGCTTACTGCCATTTATTATATTCATTGTGGTTAAAACTTAAAATGACTAAAAGGGCAGTTTGAGGCATAACAGCAGATACCTTTAATCTCAATAACTCAGGAGTCTGAAACAGGAGCATCTCATGTGCAAGGCTAGCCAGCCAGGGTGTCGAACAGGGACACTACCTTAAAACTAAAAAAAAAAAAAAAAAAGTATAGGGATGAAATTCAGTGGCAGGTTGTCCCGTGGTTAAATTCCCAGGATCCTAGACACACAAATACACACAATATGCTTAACAGTCAAAATTTTAAATTATTGTCATGATACTGTAAAATGATCACAGGGTCTTGTTCATGCTTTCCAAGCACTGTCACTCATTTTATTTTTGAAATGGTGTCTTGATAAATTGCTGAGGCTGACCTTGAACTTGTAATTCTCCATTCTTAGCTCCTTAGTAGCTATGACTACAGGAATGTACCAGCTTGCCTAGTTCTGAACTGTATATTAAAAATGGTGAATATTTTTGTATATAAATTGTATAGTTTTAAAAAAAAGAAAGCATGGTTTTGTGTTGGGAGGGGACTGTAATCTATTCCATCAAAACTTTATGATTCATTCTGTCTTTTGATATAAGTATTTGTGTTCTTTTCAGTTTTTGTTTTTATTTTTGCTTTGGTTATTTGAAACAATTGTGAAGTAAACACAGATAAAAGTCAATTTAGGCATACTTGAGTGCCCCTGTGCCCTTGAGGAATCAGACATGCTATATCTCAGTGGACTGAGGTGGGGAGTATTGAGTCATGATACCAACAGATGGTGGATACATGAACCTTCTCTCTGCCTCAGGTGCTTTCTCACTTACATGAAGGAACCTGTAAAATCTTTGCTTTTGTATTCTATTATTTAGTCAGCTGTCACTCCAATTAAAAATTAAATCTGCCCTATATTACCCTCAATCATCAACAAAAAGTGTAAGAAATTAGAAACTAGATCAGAGTCAGCAAACTTAGACCACTGTCTTTGTACTAGATGCACACATGCAATTAATTTGATAATAAGGAAGCCTTAGAATTGGTGCACACAATAAGCAGTGTTTTATCAAAATACTATCCTCTAGGACTGAGGGTGTAGTTCAGTGGAAGAGCACTTGCCTAGCATATGAAAGCACCTCAGTTTGATCCCAAATGCTCCCCCCAAACTGGAGAACAAAGCAGGTGTGTGGTCCCTCTCTCAGAGATGTCTCATATTCTATTCCTCATTTTGATTGTTTTTTCTGTACTAATAAACTGCTGTACTTTAACTAAACTTTGTGTCTTCTCTGAAAATCTCTTCTTCAAGAATATAAGAGCCAGGAAACACAATGTATCCCCTGATTCCTGGAATAACAGCCAAAAACCATAGTATTCCCTAATTTATTCATTTTTTATTTTTTTATTTTTTAATTGGTTGTTCAAAATATTACAAAGCTCTTGGCATATTTCATACATTAGATTCAAGTGGGTTATGAACTCCCATTTTTACCCCAATTACAGATTATAGAATCACATCGATTACACATCCACATTTTTACATGATGCCATATTAGTGACTGTTGTATTCTGTTACCTTTCCTATCCTCTATTATCCCCCCTCCCCTCCCCTCCCATCTACTCTCTCTACCCCATCTACTACAATTCACTTCTCTCCTTGTGTTTTTCACCATTCCCCTCACAACCTCTTGTATATAATTTTGTGTAACAATGAGGGTCTCCTTCCATTTTCATGCAATTTCCCTTTTCTCTCCCTTTCCCTCCCACCTCATGTCTCTGTTTAATGTTAGTCTTTTCCTCCTGTTCTTCCTCCTGCTCTGATCTTAGTTGCTCTCATTATATCAAAGAAGACATTTGGTATTTGTTTTTTAGGGGTTGGCTAGCTTCACTTAGCATAATCTGCTCTAATGCC